CCCCCCCCCCCCCCCCCCCCCCATTTCCGGCAGGTCCGGTTGCTGGCCTACCTCCGGGTGCGGCAGATGGCTGCGGCGCTGCCGTTCCCCTTCGTAGAAGGCTGCATGAAGAGGCTCTATCTCGCCTTCGCAAAGAGGGCAAGGGCACCCCCCGCCTCGCAATCGGGCAAGGTCTCGCTGAGGGTCATGGAGGGGTGAGCTGGTGGTGTCGGCCGGTGGTGCTGCTATTGGTTTGCTGCCCGTTGTTTTTGTTGTTGTTATGGTTGTCGCGATTTTCCTGCTTCGTGTGCATCCTGCTTACCCTCGCCCCCTACCCCCCCACACACACGCGTTGACAAGGTCTTGGAATACGTCGAGAATAAATGTGTAGATAGATCTTTGTACGTGCAGTCTCACCACTGACGCACTCACTGCTTGTATCATTTTCGTGTCCCTGACTGGCGGACTGACTTTTCTTTTTCTCATGGTCTGTCCTCCGCTTGCCGTGTCCAGCTGTGTGGTGGAGCTGTACGGCATGGATGTGGGGTCCGCGTACCAGAACGCCTTCCTCTACATCCGGCAGTTGTCCCTCCTGCTTCGACGCGCTATGCAGCTCAAGACAAAAGACTCTGTACAGGCCGTGCGACGGTGGCAGGTACATGCTCGTTATTTTTTCCTACTTCCTGTGTTCTCGAGCATTTTGCTTCTCCTTTCTTTTGCCGTCCTTTTGTTCCAATCGTCTGTTTTCATTGTTTTTTTTTGTTCTGCCCTATCGTTGTTTCTGTATTCTCATGTACTCTTTTGTGTTTGTGTGTGTGTGTGTTTTTTTTTTTCTTGCCGTCTTGCCGTTCTATGCAGTCAAGCTACGTTGTCTTTTTCTTTTTCCATGTTCTTTCCGCCTTCTCTACGGTATTCTTGTTTATTTGTGTTTCTTTCTTTCTTTCTTTTCTTTCTTTCTTTCTTTCTTTCTTTCTTTCTTTCGGCGGCCTCGCTTTCCCAGTGGCGTCTCTCGTATTGAATCCCTCTCTGCCCTTCACCGGGCCGGATCTGGAAAATGGAGTTTGGCCGCGCGGAGCCGACCGAATATCGATTGACTTCTCTTGAGAATCCTTTGTTTTGTAACAGCCCAAGGCCATGATTTCACCTCCAATGCCGGTGACCGTTTCCCCAAACCTGCACCTACACAGCACCCTGGACCGTATCCCCCGGACCTTGCACATGACCCCCGTTGATGACGTCTGCTCAACCCTGAAATCTACGCAACACTTTTCTGCGCCCGTGGCTGTGCCCCTTGCGCCGAACCCTGTTCTCAGGTGGTGACGTGCCTTCGCTTGTGGACAGGGGTGCTGGCTGCCGCCCCTGGGGAGGACGAGCTGAGGATGCTCATCTTCCCGCTGGCGCAGGTGCGTCTCTAGGAGCTCTTTCCTGTTGTCGTTCTTCGCGTCTTGGTTGGCACCTGGGAAGGAGGTATTTAGTCGATGCTACGGGGGGCAGAGCGGATGAGTGCTACAATACATAAAGTTCTTCTGGGGGGCCAAATTGCCGTTACCGCTTTTTGTTTGTTCATTACCACGACGGTTCTCTGGAGGAGAGAGAGTAGATGTGCCTTGATTCACTCCGCGTGGGTGGCGAAAGGAACAAACACTTTCCTGTGGCGAAAAGGAAAACAGGCGTCATCGTCAACTACAGCAGTGGCCTCCTCTACTGTATTCACGAAAATGAAACCGTTCCCCCTCGCCCGAGAAGGGCGTGTTTCGGTTCTCCTCGTTCTTGTTTCGGTCTGTTGCCGACCCTTTCTTCGCGAACCGTGTCGATGGACGGTCGACGGATCGATCCGGATAACCACGACAACGGCAACATCGCCCAACCAACCTGGTCGTCAACAAAAAGTCTAACCCAACTACAGCTATCGCCCTCTCATAATCACCAACACTTTTCGCCAAGGCTTGGCTTCCTTATTGGCTCGTAAGGTTCCGCCACAAATGGCCGCTATGTAAGTATTCGTGTTGGGCTTCGTATCCGGGGTCACAAATCGTGCTCAAGTTCTCAAATTCTTAGCTTTTTTAGGTTGTATCAATTTCTTAACCGCAAAGTTCCTAAGTGCGGTCGCTAACTGTGCCAAAGCCTGGCCGTCACAGAGATACCTCGCAGGGGCATGGATCATATCGACAACATCACCACCGACCGCGCGGCAACCCCTGGCCCTAACGTTTATCCCTTGTCGGCAGGTGATCGAAGGGATCGTGCGTCTCTCAGCTACCCTGCGACACTCGCCGCTGGTGTTTCAGCTGGTGCGCATGAGACAGAGACTTGCCGCTGCAGCTGAGCTGTACGTCCCGTGCGCGACTCCCCTGCTGGAGGTCATCAGGAGTCCCGCCCTTTTCAAAAAGGTGCTTCTTGAAGATTTGATTATATTTTCTGACCTAGACTTGACTTGGCTTAGTATTGTTTGTAGATCAACACTTCGCCACTCAAGATGGCTGGGTTCAAGCTAGCTTGACGAGTCGGTCGGCTTGGTGTTAACCCAACTCGTCATGACTCGAATCATCTGGACTCATATTTGCCTCGCCTTGACTCCCCTCGCACTAGCTCACAGTCCGCGAAGTTATCTTGACCCAATCCATCTTGCGTGATACCGGCAGCATGCAAGGGAGAGGGAGACAGAGCACAGAGGAGAGGCGAACAGATGGAGGAATACGTAGTCAGGGGATGAGAGATTGTCAGAGAAAAATAGAGCGAATACATTCCACGTAAGGGAACCCGTCATGTAGACCAACTCTCCTTGCTCGCATCCCTCCTGTTTTTTTCAGCGCCTGGTGGTCTTCGTCTTGAGCACCGCTGACGCACAGGGTGCGCGCGCTTTTGCATCATGTTTTTCCCGGACTTTCCCGCTTTCTTCTGCTGTTTTTGGACAGGCAACGGCTTCGACGGGGGCTCCGCCGAATGTTCCCGCCATCCTGCGGCTGGGCAAGACTCAGGTCGAGGAAGGGAGGGCGCAAGGAGCAGTGGTAGAGGAGGCCCTCAGGCTGCTGGGACAGGTGCGTTCTTCCGACCAAAAGGTTTTGCGTTTTTATCTCTGGTTTTGTTGGCGTTGGTGGTGTTAATGATGTCGATCCTGGTGTTGCCAGTGCGGTTGTTGTCTAGTTTTGCCGGTTGGTATGTGTAGTCCCTAGATTGTTCCTCGGTGTTTCGTAGGTGAATGTAATGTTCCAAACGACCGGCGGCGAAAACGTGGAACGCACCATGTGTTAACCAGATCGCACTTGTCGCCAACCTTTGCTACATTTCGGACCTCCTCCCGCTCTTAATTGCTTTCACCCAACGTTCCTGTTGCCATGTGTTGCAGGAGATGGATTTGTATCGCTATTCGGCGGCGTTTCCAGAGCTGGTGCTGCCCGTGCTGGGACGCCTCAAAAAGTTCGCCAAGCTCACGAAGGTATGCCTACAACGCACGCACAGAGTACTAGTATCGAACAGCTCTCTGCAGGTACGTATGCATAGCATTGACTGTTCTTGTGTCCGGCCGTTCGACTCGTCCTGTTCGTAGCGCCAGAGACGCTGATGTATCCCAGCACTCCGAAGTTATCTACAAACTTCGGCTACTTAAATTGAACTCGGTTGTTGTTGGTGGTTTGTACTCTGCCGCCCGGCCCTTCCTCCCTCTCCCGACTCCTCTTCCCACCCCCATCGCTCCGTCCCGGCATTGTAGGGATGCGAGCTACGGCATGCGTTTTCATTAGGACACCAACCCATCCCCCTTCTCTTTTTCCCACCTTTCTCTCTCTCTCTCTCTCTCTCTCTATCTCTCTCTCTCTCTCTCTCTTTATCTCTCCTTTCCACTTTTCCCTGTTTCTGTCAAGGTGTTCAAGTGGCGGATGATGACGAGGGGCCTGGTGGAAACCCTAGAGACGAGAGCCACTTGGGCGGCGGAAAAGCGGCTGGAGCTTGGCATATGCCCGTCTGACGTGGAGGGACTGGAAGCGTTACGGCCAGAGGTGGGACAACCCCCCGCACCCCTGAATAGGGGTTTTCGTTCGGAGTGCTAGAAGAATGTCATGTTTCAAGTAGTAGATGTCGGAACCGCATGTGGAGAGGTAGGTCACCGTGAGAGGGCGGATGAAGAGAGGCGAAGGAAGAGAAGGATGTTGACTGGGTACAATGTGTTGAACTATTCACTAGTTTTGGGTATATGAACAGGTTTGAGGAGGAGTGCTCTTGTTGTCCCTCAACGCCAGTCTGGCTGTGTGACCGCCCTAATTTGGTTGAGAACGAGCATGGAATGATGCAAGGACCGCCCACGAAGTGCCGGAGGCGTCTGTGTTGGGAGTAGGAACGGAGGATGTTTCATCTCGGAAACGAAAGTGACGATGCGCCGAAAGAGTTGTTGGAACGATTCGCACGGCGAGCAACAAGCGAAAAGTGCTACCTTTGCAAAACCGCACTGTTCCTTTCAGGGTTGGGGGGACGATCTCTTTGTGCTTCGTTGTATCTTTGTTGTTCATCCGACGATGCATGTCAGACAGCCGCTGCTTATAGCGCGACAACCTTTCGCAAGAGGGTTTGGTCTTGTGATATACCACCTGCTGTACCAGACAAGATGAGGAATAGGCGCCAATGTTGTGTCCATGGATTCATTTTTTTTCGTCACGTGCGCCCCTAAGCAGTCGTCAACATATCAATGCCCCATCTGGTTTACGTGTCAATCATTCTACGGACACGTTGCTGCTTGCGCGCCGTTAGTCACAACACACCTCCGCGAAACTTTTCACCACGTGTTGGGCACGGTTACATGAACGCATGCATGCCTTTCACAGACGCATCAGCAGCTATTGACAACAAAATACGCTCGTATCCAATCCGTCCATGACCAGGGGGCCCCGTCGATGCGCGAACGCCTCGGGGCGTCGGAGGCCGAGGTAGAACGCGTGGTCGACGATGAAAATACACCGCCCCCATCGAAAGCTACTGCCGCCATTACGACCAAGGAGAAATCGTCCGAGAACAAGAAGACCAAGAAGCAGAAAGGTAGGTTGTCGTGGGGGGGCTGGGGGGGGGAGGGTTTCGGGAGGCGTATGTATCATGCGCGGCCCCATAGTGTTGGGGTCATAGGCCGTCGCGTGTGGGGAGGGAGATGGTCGGATTTTTCGCACACCAGGATGAAAAGGGAGGTGGGGTGAAGAGACTAGGACAGAAAAAAGCATTGTCTGCCCGAACGATATCTGAATGAACGTCAGCAGGGAAACGTGGTGGGATATCGGAACGGGCCGCGCTTTCACTTGGACGTCGTTCGATTTGTGCTGGTGCTAACAATGGCTTCGATATGGTTGCATGGCAACGTACAACGATGAACGTTTTGCAGGCCGTGCGGGAGTGTGTATACGCCGTGCGGTCTACTCCCCGAGTGCGAGCCGTACCTGAGTCGCACCAACTTAAACTCCCTCGATCTAGTGGTGGTATTGCTTTGTAGGATGCGGCATATACCCCACACCCTATGGACAGTACTTGTTCGGAGGTGAACACGTCGACAACATAAGCCAACGTTTGGACGGTGTTGATAAAGCGCTTTCAAGTGTCGAAATTTTGAACTTGCATGATGCAACTTGGGGTGCTTTAGTCTGAACATGTATATACAAGTTTCGAAGTTTGACGACAAGGCCCCAGGGGACGGCCATGCGGCACAAGCAGAGTTGGAGTACGCTCGTCTGTCTCGCCAGGCTGGTGACCTTACGCGCGTGCACGTGCAAGCGTTGTACCGCCTATCGCGATCATTCCTGTCTTTCTTACTCGTGTTCACTACAGTAGAGGTCCCTATTTAGTGCCGGGGTGTGCGCCGAAATTTCACCGGCACCAAACCAGACACCGGCACTAATCGAAGTCAGAACGACTTGGTATCCCAGTGTGTGCGAGCCGAAAACACCGGCACTATACCGGCAACCGGCACTATTAAACCGACACTAAACAGGGACCTCTATTGTACGTGCTCCAGGCAACGCTGTCCAAGGCCATGTGGACGACACGGAAGGCGACGACGGTGACGACGTAAGCGTCACCTCCAAAGGCAAGAGGTCCTCCGGCGGCGGCGGCGGTAAAGCGAAGCCCCCAAGCGCTGCTGGGACCGCTGGCGACATCTCGGCACCCGACCTGGTGGAGGACCTCGGGGCATGGAGCGACACCGACTGGGATTGAGGGGTTGATGTTTTTCCGTCTCGTGGGCGTTTTGATTGGGTGGCAGCTGGTGCGATCTTTGCTTGATGGCTGCCCACCCTTTGCTTGGGTGTGGTTCAAGTGTTCGCCTGCGACAACCACCTGACGGGAACACGATGAAGCGCTCTTTCTCTTCTGAAGAAATGGCGCCTGAGCGTCCCCTACCAGGGGACGGGTGCTGAACGTCCCCTGTCGTAGAGTTAGCCGTCGGAGATAGAGCACGTACAAAACTTGGATCAGGTGCAATTGTTCCCGCAAGTTGATACTGTTTGGGGTGCGAACCTCGTAGATGATAAGCCGATTGGTGCTGTCGCCGCCCCTCATCTTCAGCCATCCCGTTTACGCATGATGATGTGTTAGGGTCTGAAAGAGGCATCCATCGAGGCCAACGCATTCAGCAGCTGCGCGATCAAGGTACATGCAGGGGTATTGATTGCACAATACGTGAAGGCGGTAGATGCAGCATGCCCGTTGCGTGGAGAGAGCGGGGGAGTACCCCACCCATGTGTTCTTTCTGTGGTTGGCTGAACTCACGATTTTCACTCGTCTTTTTTTTTTTTGTCAGGATGGACTACCGACGCCAAAAGAGTGCCTTTCAGTAGTGGGATGCTTTGGGAAGGAAGTCGGCGGAGAAAATGAAACAGTGTAGAGCCAATCACGTGCACGTTGCGGCGTCTCACGTCCCAAACCCTGACGTAGTGTCAGCGACAGCACAACTAGCGACTGACAGCAGGAACGGTGAGCCATGTCAAAATCGAGAGTGAGAGATGTCCGTTTCCAAAACTTCAGCTTGTCGTTTCGTTTCACGTAGGATTTGTCCGCATATTTGAAACGGATTCCTTCCAAATTCAGAAAAAACGTTGCTGTTCCTCCACTGCGTACAGTAGCAGCATGGTGCACCAGGGCAGTGCGCCACGAACAAAAACAACGTGTCGAAGGAGTGTGTTCAGCTGCCGCGCAACTATTTGCTACAGCATAAGTACTTGCCGTGGCACTCTCTTTGCGCTTCGTCGGGCGATGAACCTAGCCGAAGAGGGGGTGGTGTCTATCCCAGCTCCCTCTCAATACCTCTGATTTACAGCAGTAGCACGAACGAGAAAGAGGTCTCGACCAAACGTCCCCAAGATCGAGCAGCACCCAGGATGCAACCATCGCCGCATAACACACTCGTTCTCTCTGGTATTCCAAAGCGTCATCCTGCCCGCAGTAGGGATGAACATACTGTCCTCGGCATTCGGGTGCCTGTTTCCGAGGGAATCTGTAGTACCTCACCAGGGGGCGGGTCCATCTGGTGAAAACAGTCACAGACTTGGATGCGGCGTCATGTGCTTCTCCCCTTCAGAACTCTCAGAACTTCCAGCACTCTTGCAGCCTCACGCCCCGGCGTTGACGTGTGGCTGCAAAGATAGAGGTGTATCACCACTGTTTGCGTTGTCGACTTTCTGGTGTTCATTGGGAAGGGTGGGTTTGGCGCGCGAGAGACTCGTCCACTCAAGATCTTCAAAACATGCGCAAGCAAGATGTCTCTTTCATCAACTCTCCCTCGAAGAACTTTTGGATACACCGAACCAGCAGAGGATGGCCAAACAAAGGTTCACACAGGAACTGCCAACCCTTCGTGAGACTTAAAGCAAATACACCTACCTCCGATCTGGCCCAGCGGTCCTCTGTATGTATACAAATCTTCAAATCTTGAGACACATGCTCTGTGTAAGGAACGTCGTGTCTCTCTGTACTATCTGCCCGCCCAGATGCCACAGTCGAAATGTGTCAAGAGACTCACACCGAATTCCACGCTGTGCTTGCTATCCGCTGCTTTTTTGCTTCTTCTGTGGCCCTCGACCTCTGACGATCAAAGCAAGCCGCCGGTCTCTGAAGGTAGTGATATCGACCATCAACGCAACGGGGGCAGACAGCCGCGTCATGTATGAGCTACTCATGGGTCACGTCCAGTGTGTGCATGGTCCATAGCCAAACTCACCCGAGCCAGAGTGAACAACAGGCAAGATTGTAGCTTCATGAGCAAAGGAGGCACGGGAGCAAGGATTCCCGAGACCAAGAACACACGCCACGGGACTTCAGCTTTCCGCAGAGAGACCACAGAAATGTTTAACCCTGGTACATATGTCCTGCTGTTCGTAGCCTACCCGAATGAACTCAAAAAAACACTCTTGATATTTTTCAGGAATGAATGATGGATGAATGAATGCAGTGGGCACAGACCAAAACACTGATAATCTAAACGACCATGTAGAAGGTAAGCCGTGCCCGCATGACCTTTCTCAATCAGTCCCAAGGGATACATTCATTCGCGTGGCACTCGACTTAAGTGTCGGCCCTGGTAAAGTCGGGATCACCAATGTCACAGGAGCTACCTGAATGTGATGGCGCCACCGACGTTTAGGTGTACTTCATGCGTCGGAGAGTCCGTTGACCCTGAACTGGCGGATTTGCATCCCCTTTCCAGAGTCGGGATTGCGTAATGCCGCGGGCACAACCTTGTAGGGGTGATTGGGTTCATTGACCGTATTGCCGGTTTGTGTATCGGTGTTTTATATTTGTTCCACCATCATGGGTGCACGGCTTTGTGTAGTGGGACGAATTGGCCATGTTATTTTCCCTCCCTCCAAACTCTCCCCCCCCCGGTGTTTGCCATCGGGATTGGGTTTTCGTCGCTTGGCAACGACGTTGTAAAACAAGCCAATTCGCTTCGTGAACTCGGCAACCAGGTTACCGTTGTTTTTTACCTCTGTTTTTTTTTTGGCGGTAATCATGATGGTGGTCGAGTAGATCATGTTGTGCGGGGTCGAGAACCCTCACTCCGCGCAAGGGGGATGATCGCACCGTTGTGTTAAAATGGTCAAGCACCCTCGAGGTAGTCACACAATGCTTACAACTGTCTCTGGAAGTGAAGCACCAGAAAATATATTAAGTCATACGCAGCTGTCATCCGTACGCAAGGAAGTAAGCACAAGATGCCGGAAACCCTTAGCAGGATGCAGCGCACCCTTCATGCGACTCGCCGAATATCTCACGGCGCTTCGCGCTTGGTGATGTGAGAGCCTGGTCCGGTGAGAACCCGGCGTGCTCCGTCCCGGCTTTGTAGGGATGCGAGGTCAATGGTCTAACGACCACGGCATGCACGACTATGAGTACCCCCCCCCCCCTCCAAACTCTCCCTCCACAACCCAACCCGCAACAACCCCCACCCCATCTAAAAATCTCATGACTAAGAGCCTCCGCGAGTAAGCAGCAGCCTCCTGTCGCTTTGACGGAAACAATCACGTGCGTCAGTCATTACCTGCAAGTCGGCGATGTTGTTATGGCGGCGCCAAGACCTCGTATGTACATACAATAATCAGCTGTCGTCGAGACGTACTGTAGTAGACGATATCGACGACCACGACGTCGATTCACAGGCGGGTCGCTGCAGTACAGAACGGGCCCGGAGACAAGAAACTCCAAAATCGGGTCTACTTTCAATCCCTTATTTTGGGTCGAAGGACCAGCCGAAGTCGGCCATTATCTTAATACGAATTTCTTATTCCTTCGGGCTATCGCATCCTGCTTATTTTCCGCTTTTTCATATTTTCTTCTTTCTCCGCTATGTGTGGCGGTACAGCAGTACAGCCGCAGCGGGTAGCGCGACCCGCGGCTGCGCGGGGGTGCGGGGGGCACCGCGAAAACAATAGCAAGTTTGGTGAGGCAGATATAGCCGATGTAGACTACTGTTTATTGAAACGGTCGAATTTGCCAGAGGCGTTATTGTTCCTGTATTTCGGGGTATCAGGTTGAGAAGAGTCCTTTTGGGATGGTCACTTTATCGGAGAGTTCACGTGCAGGAGAAGGCTCGCTGGACAGCGTGGAATAGCAGATTTATACAACAGCAGTACGTGAACTCAGAGAGGGATAGCAAGGATTGGCCAGATTGGGAGGCCAAGAAGTTGCGTTCTTCGTTTTCTCTCTGCGAGCGGGGGCTTGGACGGAGCCCGGGCACGCGCGCGTTTCATCCTTCCAGACGTCATCAACGGGGGCAGAGGCAGGGCGAACTCACCGGTACGGTCATGATGTTTGTTGAGGGAGCGATAGGCGGGGTATGACAAAGCCCTGCTAAGATGATGGCTCACGACTAATGATGACGGGTCACTTGTTGGTGTCCCTGTTGTTCTTGGGCGGTGCCTACACTGCTGTGTAC